GGGTGCGCCTCGAACACCGCGATCCTACTTCAGAATAAGAATTTGGACACGCAGACGAAAAAAAAACCTCTGACGCCGCATGGAACTTTTGACAAAATATCTCGTTAAGCTGTTAAGTCGGTTCGACGAGTTTACTCCGGCCGAGCGACAACGACGCCAGTTGGCCAGCCGACGGCAAGCCAACTGCAAGCCAACGGCATAGGGTACACCGCCGACGGGACGCCACCCATCACGCCGTATTCGACGATCGACGTTCCGTCTTAACGACGCCAACGGCCAGCCAACGGGCTGCATGCCGAACAGTGCCTCGGTCGCTCTGTCTCTCTCACAGTCACGGGCGTCCCGGAGGGGAGCGAGAGAGACGGCGCCACGAAGCACGGCCCGGAATGAGTGCCGCGGCCGAAGCGCGGTCGTTGGATCGGAGCGATGCGTTCGGCTCGCATGAGCACAGCACAGCGCAGCACAGCGCCCGTTTCAGGGCCCTAGGAACCGCTGCGTCCCCGCGGGCCCGCGACTCCACGTCACGGCGGCAGCAAGGCGCGGCGTGCGTTTCCTGCTGCACTCCTTGGGGCACGGTCGTAACCTAGCGACCGAATTGCACTAGATTCATCCATATTTTTTTTGCCTCGCGGTGAAAGAAGGAAATGACGGGAAGTCGTCCTCATTTTCGCATGGTCTCCGAAAATTGGCGACATATTGCACCGGACATGTGCATGGCCGTGGTCCCCTCCAGGCAGCCCCGAGCGGCGCGCCACTGCCGCACCCCGCCGCGCCACGGCATCGCTGATGGCCCACTTGCTAACACCGGTACACCGGCGGCGCGCGGCGCGGCCCGGCGGCCCACTGCGTAGCGCCAGTTGGATGCATACGTGCGGAGGCCGCGAGCCGCGGACGGCCAGCGCTGGCTGGAGTCGGTTAATTAGCAGATAGACATCAGTTTGATTCGGTACAAATCGGCGACCGCGATACCATCGGCTGGGACTGCTCCGCCTTGGGGACGACCCGACCAGGGATGAATGACCAGCGACCCAGCGACGTGCGGTGCGGTGCGTTCTGCTGGTTTGGCCGTTCGGTTCGGCCGTTCGGTTTGGCCCCGCCCGCACGTCGCACGTCGACGGCTACCCTGTGGGCTCGGCTCGTCGGCCGGCTCGGCTCCGGCTGCACCCTGCTTCGGGCGGGCTCGGCTGCGCTCGGCTCGGCTGGGGCTCGGCTCGGCGCGGCCCACCGGAGCGGCCATACCGCTAGCCAGCCGGGCCCGGCCGCTCCGCCGTGAGGCCTGGCTGCCGCCCTGCCGCCCTGCCGCTGGCCCAGCCAGGCCCAGCCCATACCGCTGGCCCACTAATTTTGAGAACGCGGCGCGGCCACGTCCGGAACGGCACCTGTCTGCCTCTGACGCACTCGCGGGGCGCGCGGCGCGGGGCCCCTCGCCGCCGCGGGCCGCCGCGGGCCACAGGGACGGCGAGCGGTGAGCCCCAAAAGGGGCCACGAGTTGGCCCGGCCGGCTCGACTCCAGCCAGCCCATCGCGAGTTCGACGCCGGCCCGCCGTGCGGTTCGATTTTGATGCCTGCGGTACCGGTTCGAACAGTTAACATCCGAGGAATGCCCCACCGGTAGCAGAAACCGTACGCGGTACGCGTATGGAGCCACGTTATCAACGAATTGATGCCTTGCCAAAGGTCGGGACGGGCTCTGGACGAGGCTCTGGGAGCCGCTACAGCCGCAACGCGTCCAACCTGTACCGAGCCAAAAGTACACTGCACACTGCCTGCCAGACAAACTCCTGTTCAAAAGAAAAAGAAACACATGCATGCACACTGCAACGTCGGATAATGTATGCCGATATAGCATATTCATACGACGTTAATTATCGACATGGAAATATAATATGATACAGAAAGGAAAGATTCACATGCAAGGAAGGAGTACAAAAGTTTCAAGTTGCCAAAGTGTGGCCATGCATATATATTTTTTAGAAGGAAGAAGAAGGCACAAGAAAATAAAAATTTTAAAAAATACAGGTGGAGAAAAAATTGCGGTTAATTGGGATAGGGGTTGGTTGGGAGGGTAGGAGTTGGAGTATTTTGGGGTGGGTCGACGTTTTTGCGGCATTCGCTTTTTACTCTATCTCTCTGACACACGTGCCACTTATTCACTCTCGAGAGTCTCATGAATGACACATCCCGAAAAAAAATGATAGGAGACTCGAAGCTATCGGGAACAAAACGAGGAATCCATTCATAGCCATTCGTGTCACGACAAGGAAACTGGGACACGACACGCGTGGAAGATGTGTCATCCATTTCTTTTTTATTTCAACAACAGCAGCAATAGGTGTTGCAAAATGAATTTCATCGGAAAAGCTAACTGGCTTGATCAAAAAATGCAAACAGCTTTTTCTTCCTGCCATGGGCATGATTTCTGAAACGAATGGCTAAGAAGTATATCCTAGAAAGATGTGAGACGCGTGAGTTCCATCCTGGAGGGGATGGACTCTCCCGATAGCTGATATGCTCACGGTTTACGCATCGGAGGTCTGTGGGTTTGGATTCAAAGCTCTCTGGGAGGGTTTAGTGAGGCTCCGAAGAACCGGACAACGCTGAACCGAAATATGAAAGACTGGAAGAGGAGCCCAAATGGATTGGGCCGCTGGAGGTGCCGAGTGTGTTAGGCGGAACGCCTCGCCCGCTACAGGCTACAGAAAAGGCAAGGCACTGTGTCAAATGTTCGTTTTCGTGTTGTTTCTGTACACAGTATTCAGTTACTGGTCACCCTCGCATGTATATGTAAGTGTCACAAATAAAAAATGGTGTTGTAGAAAAGCAAACGATAGAGCGAATAAGAAGTGGAACGTATCCATTCATGTTAGTGTGTGATAAACAATGGCCCTCCAGCCGAAATAATATAGTGTCGACGCCACGTCAAATCGTGACAAATTCAAACTAATTTCATTTCTTTTTAAAATACTAAACCATTGTTGAGATAATATTAACATATTTAAGCACTGATCGATTACATTTCTCTGTGCTTCCAAACAGATTGTTACAGTCACACGATGAAATGGACTGAATGCAGACATGAAAAATTCCATTCAAAATGTCTTCTCCCTTTGCCATGAAATTAGTTCAAGTTTGGTCCGACTCTCGTGGCCTGCTCCGTAGAAGCGGTGCATGGACAGGACAAGAAGAGCGCGTCCGAGAAGACACCTCGCAGCGCAGTGGCTGCGGCCAATACCTACCAATCAAAACAACTCAACGCGAGGCTTCCGCCAATCACAGCGCCCCTGGCTCGTCGCGAAGAACTTCCTCTACCCGTCCCAGTTCTGGCACTGGACGGCAGCCGGTAGGCCCTCAGGGACAACAACAAAATAGTGTTGAAAGAATTTAACTATTTTTTGTTCATTCTTGGGGGAATCTGAGTTAATTTGCTAAATTACTTGATTCATTTAGTAAGATTTGGGCAAGATTTCTCTTACAATCGCAATTAATTATGTTCGACAAAATCGAACTGAAACTAATTTTAAAACAAACGGGCAACGTGACCAGACAGAAACAAAATGAAAAACACTTTCTCACACTAATTTTTGTGGGTACGACTTTAAACAACAGTTTTATCTAGTTTATGGTCACAACAACGTTGCCCCGGTGCGTGCGTGAACTAGCCTTCTTCGAGTTCCTATCGGCTCTTGTGATTGCGCTCGCCCCGAGCTGTGTCCTTTTAAAAGGAAACTATTGACAGGTGCTGCTCTCTGGCGGCGCGGTGGCGCGCTGCGTTGTGAACCCGAGGGGCCACGGTGGAGTCCAGTGGCCGCTTGGCTCGCTTTGCCCACCAGGTGTATTGACCGTCAAAACCATATCTCCGTGGGGGCAGACTCTTCCAGGGGCTATCTCCGCCAACATCTCCGATACATCCGCCCCGGGGCGGCGGTGGCAGTAGATGTTGTCAACACGAAGGCAACGCCCGCCGTCTAGCGCGGGGATGCACGTGAACGTGAACCACACTGGCTCAAACCAAAACAAAACCAGCGGCGTGAAAACGGGTTTGGCACGACAAATCTCAGATCGATGTTTCCACCTCTACAGTGCAAACATTATTAAATTTTGAAAATCCAGTTTTACCAAGCTTTTTTGAATACAGAAAAACTTTTTTTTATCGATTTTTTACAGTAGCAATTAACAACACTGCTTGGTGGAGGTGTGGGGGCTAATCTACTGACATTTCGTCTCTGAACAGGCGAAGTCGACCACAGAGTCATCGAATCCAGAGTCACTCTGCGGATTATTTTGGAGCGATCGCGAAATGTTGCGAAATGTCGTCCTGGACATGCGAAACGCGGTCCCGTTACAGGAGAGGCGGCCCACCTCCCAGCGGAGGGGCACGGGGGGACGGGGCGCTGGGGGGCCCACAGGGGGGACCCACAGAGCGACTCACACCGCTACGCGTCGCCGGGCCCCAAGCAGGCCGCCTCGGGAGGGCCTCGGGCGGGTCGCACCGGGTGCAGGGCAACTTCCACCCAAAATCGGCGGATCGCGAATCGAACGGGACGGGAATGGGCGCGACAGAGCGGTCCGGCGTCGCCGTGTCGTCGGGGAGCTCGCGAGGCTGTGGAGGTCTGGATGACGGTCGATTTACACTCTTAGGGCGCCAGCAGTGGCATGGCTCCACCGGGGCTGCCTGGCGGCTGCCTTGACCGCGGCCAGGGCGGCGCACTTCGCAGCACGCCGGCCGCGCCGAGAACTTATCTGTATACTTCTGGTCTGAGCCCCGCCACGAAGTCCGAGAAGGACGTGACGGTGGGTGCGCTGTGCTCTGCGTTGCCACGCGTGGAAGGCTGAGGGAATTCCACCGCCTGAAGGTACAGCCGGCGCCAGTATTTGAACCCAGGTCAACCTTCCCAGCCGGCGCTCCATGACAGGCACCCGCACACACACCGGCTCCGCTGCGCTCTCGAGGAATGTGCGCGGGGCTCAGACCAGACTGCACTCTCTGGATTCCTCTTTACCTGGTTGAGGTAGCCACCGTTGGAGGAGGTACGACGAAGGACCCAATGCTCTCCGCAAGGGGAAGGGGTTAAACCCACCCATGGTCACTGTGTGTGTGGTGCTTGTGGTGATAGGGGACAGGGCCGCTCAGCCCACGAGGACGCCATGAGGAGCGTCAGGCCTTCGGGCAGGCCGTCAGGCGGGGTGTTGGCGCTCGAGCGACCCCATCGCTCAAACTGGAGGAACTGAGGAACGACAAGAAAAAAACAGGGGGAAGGGGTGGGTGGGTTCTATGAGAGAATCAAAGGGGCGGTAGGCGTAGCGACGCTAGGGTTAACTCACGGTGTGACCGTCAAGAGGGGGGGAGTATCCTTGCAGTATCCTTGCAGTAGTAATCCAGAGGGCGGCGGTGCAGGGGTGGCGAGGTATCCAAAGGCACACAATCACTGCACTGTATCGCACTGGCTGCACTAGCGTGCACTAGCGAGCACTAGCGCCCCAAGCGGGGCTGGCCAAGGGGCTGGCGGCCGCTGCGGCCTCCGCCGTCAGTCCGAGCCATGCGCACCAACAAACAGCGTCACACTTGTCACACGCTGTCTCGTGTCACAGTCACACTGGTCACACTGGCGAAGGCGCGTAATCCAATCACAGGTGTGGCCGCTGCTTGGTGGCAGCACGGCTCGAGGGCGTGGCGGGCGGGGTGCGGGGTGGCGGCCCTCGCAGGTCGACGTGGAGGTTAGGGTCCGCGGGACTCGACCGGGGCGGCGCGGAAGACGCGGACGACGCGGACGTACGCGACGTGGTCGTCTTGACTGGCGGAGCTGCACTGCCAGGCGGCGAGGCGGCCGAGGGAAGGGGTCCGGAGGGGCTCGGCCCGGCAGGCCCGGCCGTCGGCAGGCCGTCGGCCCGCTACGCGCCACGCCCCGCCACGCCGCCGCGCCACCGACGCGGCCCGAACGGAGCCCCGAGCGCACCCGAGCGGCCGTCGACGGCTCCGGACGAACACGAGTCCGGCTGGCCGGCCGGCGGGGCTCCGGGAAGAAAGAAAGGTGTGCGGGGAGGACGCTCCGGGATGCAGGGAAGGCCCAGGCCAGCCTCCAGGCCTGCTTCTAGGCCGGCAGCGCGCTCTCCAAACGCGGGGCTTCCGTCGCTAAGAAGACGCTCTCGCCCTTCTTTTTGTTGTTGGGACGTTAGGACCCACCGGTGCATTTATTGCCCCGCTGTGGCCACTCGACCACACAGCAGGAGCTCTGCAGGATACACTGTCCAGACGTGTCTTGGAAAGTCAGGACATCTTTAAAGCCCTTGCAAACTCATCCGAGATTAGTTTCGCGGTGTTAGTGCTGTCGAGCGGAGGAGGGGCTACTTCTTCTCTCAAAGAGACCTATTTCGACTTAATCATTTGCCAGGCAACATCCCCGCCTCCGCCACCGAAGGCGACCGAAGGCGACCGAGGGCAGAGCACCATGAAAACAGCCAGCAGCACTGCGACCTCTGCCCCTTTCCACACTGCAGTGGTCTGCATATTCGAGCCGAGAGCGACGAACTGAAGGGAATGGAATGGACAGTGGGTGCCCCTAGGTGCCCCCGGTGGCAGTGCGGTGGCAGTGCGCAGTGCGCAGTTCGGACTGGGGCACGGCGAGCACAGGAAGTGAGTGCTTTCCATAGTCATTTCGATGAAATGGAACTGAACTGTGCGACGCGGTGGTGCCTGGTGGCGGTGCCTAGCTAGGTTGGCCGTGCCCCGGCGGTGCCGCGGTGCCGCACACAGTGTGCACTGCTCTTCTCACGGCCGCTGACTTCGACTTTCTCCGCGGGGACTCGCGAGGCGCTTCGCGTCTAGCTTGGCGTCTAGCTTGGCGGACCCACGGCGGGGCGAGGGGGCTAGGAGCGGCAGCCGGGCAGCCTGGCGCCCAGCGGCCTAGGCGGCCTAGGCCATGACAATGGCGGGGCGGCGGGGCGCGCGCCGACGGGCAGCCCACCGCGGCGGCGCGTCGCGGAGAAGAGGGTCTCAAAGGCTGTGAGGACGCAGCGACCGCCCAGCGTTTAGGTCTCCATCTCGCATAGTCTGCATTGTGGTCGAATGTGTGTGTAGTATGTGTGTGTGAGTGAGCGTCGGCCCTCCTTGCCGTGATTCGGCGGGACACGGGCGTGCAACAATTGGCGGTGCACTGCCACAGTGTACTGTACGTGTTAATTGGCCGTCCGGCGGCACGCAGGCGGCACAACAGACGGCACGCGCGCCGCGCTCCACGCTCGTGTGCCCGCGCTGGAAGGCTGGAGGGAGGGCTGGATGCGAGCGGTTGTCGGTCTCTCTCGCACTCGCGGGGGCGGCCGGGGCGGCCCGTACGGGTGCGAGAGAGACAGAGAGGAGGCTGGAAGTGGGGCCGGCCCTGTTGCCGGGAGATACCCGCAGCCCAGCCGTGAAATGCTTTTATGAACTTGAATCGGATCAACGCGTTGCGAATCATTCATTGCTTTGCTCTCATAAATTTGCATCAAATCTGAATTCCGGACACTTGGGTTCCTCGTGTTGCCAACATCCCAAGGAAAAGAGCCGCGTCGTATGCGGTCCCAGGGGTGAAAATCGCGAAAATCGGCACAGGTGGCCCCGGGGGGAGTCGAACCCACGACAATGTCTGGAGGTGCGTGCGCCGCGCTCAGCGTGTGTCGCGTTAACGCGGCGCATTAGCAACTCTAAGCAGGCGAAGCAGGCGAGGCAGGCAGGCCCCGCCAAACGGATTCCCGTTCCTCGTAATCAATAAGCGTGCTGCGTGGCGAGGCCCGCTGGCTGTGGGTGTGCAGCTGTACAGTGTACACACCAAGTCGCCGAGATCCCGTATGTGACTCGAAGAAATTCCCGGTCCCTGGCGACCGCCTTCCGTTAAATAGCAGATCAGCGAGGACTCTGCCACAAACACTACAGCATTTAAAAAAAATTTCCCCTAAGTTTGTCTCGTTTCAAAATCACGGTGTAGTGTAAAAGGGTTGCGAGAGGCCTCTCGTCTCGCGTCGTTCGTCCTTTGGGTGCCAGGCTCACCTTGATTGCCTTCTTCGCTCCGTCCGTGGCGCCGCGGCCGCGCGCCGCTGTCACGGTTTTCTTATCAAGCGTGCCATGACCCCGAAATCTGGTTGCCCCTCCCCTCCCCTCCCCGCGTGAAAAGCCCGCCACGGGTCCCGGCGGCGCATCACAGTGTAATTCCGCGCAGGGTGGTCGTCTCTCTCGCACCCCTGCGGGGCCTACGGGACGCGCTAGAGTGCGAGAGAGACAGAGACGGGGTGCAGCCTGCCGCCAAGCCCCGCTGTAGGGCATCTTGCTGCGTGACGCCGGCGTGTTTAGTGTGGCGGTGCCAGCGTGTCGCGTGTCGCGTGTATCGCGGGCCTCTCGCACCCTCGTTCGCGAGGCGCGTCTGTCTCTCTCGCACCCTCGTTCGCGAGGCGCGTCTGTCTCTCTCGCACCCTCGTTCGCGAGGCGCGTCTGTCTCTCTCGCACCCTCGTTCGCGAGGCGCGTCTGTCTCTCTCGCACCCTCGTTCGCGAGGCGCGTCTGTCTCTCTCGCGCCCTCGTTCGCGAGGCGCGTCTGTCTCTCTCGCCCCTCGTTCGCGAGGCGCGTCTGTCTCTCTCGCACCCTCGTTCGCGAGGCGCGTCGTCTCTCTCGCACCCTTTTCCACGGTTTTCTTATCAAGCGTGCCATGACCCCGAATTCGGTTGCCCTGCCCCTCCCCCCGCGTCGAAAAGCCCGCCCTGACCCGTTCCGGCGGCGCATCAGTGTAATTCCGCGCAGGGTGGTCGTCTCTCTCGCACCCCTGCGGGCCTACGGGACGCGCTAGAGTGCGAGAGAGACAGAGACGGGGTGCAGCCTGCCGCCAAGCCCCGCTGTAGGGCATCTTGCTGCGTGACGCCGGCGTGTTGTTTTGCTGGCGGTTGCCAGCGTGTCGCGCTGTCGCGTGTATCGCGGGCCTCTCTCGCACCCTCGTTCGCGAGGCGCGTCTGTCTCTCTCGCACCCTCGTTCGCGAGGCGCGTCTGTCTCTCTCGCACCCTCGTTCGCGAGGCGCGTCTGTCTCTCTCGCACCCTCGTTCGCGAGGCGCGTCTGTCTCTCTCGCACCCTCGTTCGCGAGGCGCGTCTGTCTCTCTCGCACCCTCGTTCGCGAGGCGCGTCTGTCTCTCTCGCACCCTCGTTCGCGAGGCGCGTCTGTCTCTCTCGCACCCTCGTTCGCGAGGCGCGTCTGTCTCTCTCGCCCCCTCGTTCGCGAGGCGCGTCTGTCTCTCTCGCCCCCTCGTTCGCGAGGCGTGTCTGTCTCTCTCGCCCCCTCGTTCGCGAGGCGCGTCTGTCTCTCTCGCACCCTCGTTCGCGAGGCGCGTCTGTCTCTCTCGCACCCTCGTTCGCGAGGCGCGTCTGTCTCTCTCGCACCCTCGTTCGCGAGGCGCGTGTCCGTGTGCCGGCGGGAGGGGCGCACGGCCCAGCCGGATTAGTGCGGCTCGCAACAAGAGCCTCTCCGCTCTCCGTCTCTCTCGCACTGAGGGCGCGTCCCGTTCCGAAGACGAGTGCGAAAGAGACGGAGCGGAATGGGTCTGCCCTGTGGCGCAACACTGGACGAATCAATTAAGCATACGGCTGTGTACGGCTTCATCGCCGGGGTGGGGTCCGCCGGCCGAGCCACCGTCTCTAGGAAAGTGTCGCAATGTGGCCCACCGCCTGCCTGCCCGCCTGCCCGCCTGCCTGCCTGCCTGCCTGCCTGCCTGCCTGCCTGCCTGCCTGCCTGCCTGCCTGCCTGCCTGCCTGCCTGCCTGCCTGCCTGCCCCTGCCTGCCTGCCCTGCCTGCCTGCCTGCCTGCTGCCTGCCTGCCTGCCTGCCTGCCTGCCTGCCTGCCTGCCTGCCTGCCTGCCTGCCTGCCTGCCTGCCTGCCTGCCTCCTGCCTGCGCCTGCCTGCCCGCCGCGTGGCGAGTAAACACCGCACCGCATCGTTCGAAGGATGGGTGTCGTTTTCGGTGCCATGTGTTTGATTCGAGTGCTAAACTTGAACCTCCAATTTTTGAAGAGTCCCTCCCAATTGGTTTTCCAATGCGGCGCGCGTGTGACGGTGACCGCGACGCACTGGGCGGGTCGTTGTGGTTTTCCCTGCTGCACCGCACTGCACTCGGCCAGGCGCTGCGCTTGCTTGCTCGGTGCACTGCAGTGCACTGCGATGCGCTCGATAAGGCGTGTGCAGGCGTGCTTAACGAGGGCCTCGATGAGCTGGCCGATAGTACGTGCGACGACGCCGACGACGCCGACGGCGCTGACGAGGTTGACGCCGTGCTAGGTGCGGACGGATTACGCCGCCCCGTGTCCGCCCCGCCGTCGCGCAGACGCGTATGTAAAGCGACTTTGTGGGGCGGGGCGGGGCGGGGCGGGGCGGGGTGGGGCGGGGCGGGGCGGGGCGACGGCGTGGCCCGTTTTGGCTGCCTTGACGCCGCCGCGACGCCGCGACCGCTATATTTGCATATGAATGGCGGCCGGCAGATACTTTTCACAAAAAGGAGGAAGGAAGGAGAGGGGGAGAGGGGTGCTTGTGTGAGTTATCAGATCGAGCCAGGATCGCGGCGGCGAGCGTCCGCGCCGTCACGCCGGTCGTTGCGGGATGACTTCACGCCCGCGACGTGGACTGACGTGGACGCGGCGGCACGAGGGGCGTGAGGGACATCATGGACATGAAGGCCCTGCTGCCGCTCC